CCCTCTCAGAGAAGGCCACTGCTATAGAAGGAATAACAGGGGAAAAGCTGATCAGACCATTCCGACTACCCCAGAAATGCGAGATGGGGGACATCAAGTGACTCATGAATTCTTGTATATTCCTGAATGCCCAGTACCCCTGTTGGGGAGAGACTTGTCTAAATTGGGGGCACAAGTGACCTTTTCCTCCCAAGAAAGACCCACCTAGAGCTCGACCACCTATTTACTCTCCCTCTCGGTAACCCCTCAAGATGAATGGAGGTTGCATGACCCTTCGGAAGGGAAGCTGGATGGGTTAAACAATCGAGAGAGAGAGCTGATCCAACAATTCCCTGAGGTTTGGGGGGAAGATAACTTCCCCCCACCCCTGGACTCACCAAACATCAAGCTCTGGTGATAATAGGACTCAAACCCAGCGCCGTACCAGTCAGAAAACACCAGTACCAGCTACTGCTGGAGGCCCGAGTTGGCATCTTGCCACATATAAATAGGCTACGACAGGGGGGCATCCTGACTGAATGCCAGTCAGCCTGGAACACACCGATCCAGCCAGTTAAGAAGGAAGGGGGACCGGACTACAGGCCTGTGCAGGACCTCAGACTGGTCAACCAAGCAGCTGTAACTCTACACCCCACAGTTCCTAACCCCTACACCTTGCTCAGCCTCCTCCCACCGTGTGCTAAGATATATACTTGCCTAGATCTGAAGGACGCATCCTTTTTGTATCCACTTGCTCCAGTATCTCAACCCATTTTTGCTTTTGAATGGGAGGATCCAGCAGGGGGCGCTAAACAGCAGCTCACTTGGACTCACCTCTACAAGGATTTAACAATTCCCCAACCGTTTTCGGGAAGCCTTGGCTTCCGACCTGAACTCATTCCTGCCAGAACGGTTTAAATGCTGGCTGCTACAGTATGTGACGACTTGCTGTTGGCTGCTGAGAATGAAGAAGACTGTTGGGAAGGAACTAAGGCTTTGCTAGAGCCGTTGATGGAAGCAGGCTCCCGCGTCTCGAGGAAAAAGGCACAGATCTGCAATGAGGAGGTAAGATATTTGGGGTTTGTCCTGAGAAAGGGCACAAGACTGTTGGACCGGTCTAGGAAAGAAGTAATCTTGAGAATCCCACAACCAAAAACCTGAGGACAGGTCCGAGAATTTTTGGAAGCCACTGGGTTCTGTAGAATTTGGACCCCAGAATACTTTCAGATGGCCCAGCCCTTATATGAACCCCTAACAGGGCCAGAAGGGGATTCACTAAATTGGACTGAGAGGCAATAACAGGTCTTTGAAAAATTAAAATTGGCACCCACGTTGGGTCTGCCAGACCTTACTAAGCATTCACTCTTTGTGTAACTGAAAAAGACAAGGTGGCTATGGCGGTATTAATCCAGACTGTAGGGACATGGAACAGACTGGTGGCCTGTCTCTCAGCACGGCTGGACAGCATTGCTACCAGCTGGCCTGGGTGCTTACGGGCGATTGCTCTGACGTTACTGGTCCAAGAAGCGACCAAGCTGACTTTGGGCCAAAACTTAACTGTAAAAGTCCCCCATGAGGTCAGCGCTCTCCTACGAGGGGATCCCCACAAGTGGTTGTCAAGGTCCCGGATTACCCAATACCAGGGACTTTTATGAGAGAAACCCCATGTTACTACTGAGCTCTGTCAGGCTACACCCCTTCCTGTGGGGAAAGGTGGACCTTCACATAATTGTGAAGCAATCCTGGAAGAAGTTCATCCTAGCAGACCTGACCTGAGAGAGAGACCAGCCAATCCCGCACTCAGACTGGGTCCCGCACGCCGATGGCCCCAGCCTGGTGAAACAAGGACAGTGGCTGTCGGGGTACGCGGTAGTCACAGAGAAGACCATCGTCGAGGCTGGCTCTCTGCCATCCCACTGTTCTGCTCAACGGGCCGAGTTATGGGCTCCAATTCAGGCCCTCCAGTTGTCAAAAGGTAAGACATTTACACTCCCTCCAGGTACGCTATTGCTACTATGCACGTGCCTGGGGTCCTATACAAGGAGAGCCGGCTCTTGACAGCTAACGGAAAAGACATTAAAAACAAGGAAGAAATCTTGACCCTACTAGGTGATCTATGGGAACCTGAAAAAATAGCAGTGATACATTGCCGGGGTCACCAAAAAGAGGAGAGCCCGCAGGTGTGGGGAAACTGGCTGGCAGACAGAGCCGCAAAACAAGTGGCTGAGGGATTTGGAGGCGCTGGGGGCGGGATTGTTAAGACTTTCATACTCCCGAGAGTGCCCAAGTTAACTTCAACTCTCCCTCTCCCACAACTCGCCTGGCCCAAGACCAGCTGGCTGAAACAGAAAGGGCCACCAAGAATGAAAAGTGTTGGTGGGAACTGCCGGATGGCAGGTTGCTAGTTCCCAAGGCATTGGCCCCTGCATCAATGTCTCGGGTACAGCAGACTACCCACGTGGGGTGTGACAAAATGGAAAAATTAATTTGGAAATATTTCTTAATACCACAGCTTTCTTCCCTGTGTAAAATGGAATCCCAGAACAGTTCTGCTTGCTCACAGGTCAGTGCTGCCCCCGGACATAAACAGAAAACTCCAGGAATACAGTTAAAGGGCACTCTGCCCTTTGAACATTTAGAAGTGGACTTGACTGAGATGAAACCCTACCAACACTATCCTTATTTACTGGTCATGGTATGTACCTTCTCAGGATGGGTGGAGGCCTTCCCCCACCCATCTGAAAAAGCAAATGAAATGGCTCACTGTCTGATTCGAGAAATAATCCCCAGATTTGGGTTCCCATCCAGAATAGGATCAGACAACGGCCCTGCTTTTGTAGCCGATTTAATTCAACAGGTATGTAAAGCTCTAAATGTCAAATAGAAATTACATACAACATATTGGTCCCAGAGTTCCAGAATGGTGGCAAGAACTAACTGAACCCTAAAAGAAACACATTCAAAATGTATCATAGAGACTGACTGTTCATGGATGGACTTACTTCCAGTGGCCTTGCTCAAATGAAGAGTGAACCCACGTTGCCATGGTTATTCTTCTTATGAAATTGTCTATGGGAAACTCCCTCCCATAGTAAGACAGGTGTTGGCAGATTTGCCAACAGGTAAGAGGAGATGGGATTTCACAGCAAATGGAACAGTTAGGTGAGATAATAAACCAGGGAACTAAGTTTGTCCAAGAAAGGGTGCCGTTCCCCCTTGAGAAACAGATTCCTGAGATATTATGATTAAAGTAGAAGCTCTAATTAACTTCATGAAACCAGCCCTCCTGGACAATGCAAAGGCGATCCAAGCTTTAAATGAAGAACAAATACAAATGAGAAAGGCAGTAATTCAAAATCAGATGGCTTTAGAAATACTTAAACGGCCGCTCAAGGAGGGACCTGTGAAAAAGTTGAATGTTGTGTATATATTCCTGATTTATCTGGATGTATCAGCCGCTCTAGAGGACATGAAAAACCAGGTAAAAGCTATGTCTAATGATAATATTCCTTTTAGGACTTCTATTTTGTCGTGGATAAAGGGCGATTAGTGGAAAACTATATTGGCCATTGTTATAGTGGCTCAGTTGATTTTGTTATGTGGACCTTGCATTCTCCAACATATTGTCAACTTTGTTTCACTGAGATTGAATTCATTCACCTAAATATATGCCAGAAGACCCAAGGTACAGTACATCCCTATGAATGATGCTCACACTGGAAGTTGAGAGCATCAAGAGAGGGGAATGAAGAAGGAAAGGAGCAGGTAGCCCTGACTAAACTGACTCTATTTTAAAAGGAAGGAAACTCCATCTGGCACTCAGCAAACTTTAGTCTACAAATCTGGTAACCATGGAGATAACATACCAACAGCCGAGGAAGCCTCCCCAACGGATAAACACCAGACCAGGCTGACCTCTTACCTAGACTCCCCAGAGCCAAAAAGAATGCAATAATCTTCTATGTAATCAATCGTTTTTTTGTAGTTCTAATAATGCCCACATCTGCATGACTAGATGACCTTTAGAATATGAATCATGACTGTAACCTGTTTGTATCTCTTCCTAACATTTTCCAGAGCAGACTCGGGAAATTTGGGGATGTGGGCTTGGGCATGTACACTTCGGGTATAAAAGGTTGTCACAAAGATTGGTCGGGGTCCCTGGCTAAGGAGGAAACTCTGCCTGGGACTCGCCGGTGTCATAAACTGCACTCCACTATCCGCACTGCCCTTCTGAGTGAGTTTTGCTTCCCAGGGCGTTTGGCTATAACAGTACCTCATGATGTCAACATTTCTTCCATCACTTGTAAAGACAACTTCATTTTGGGGTTTCCCTGGTGGTTTAGTAGTTAGGACTTCAAGCTTCCAATGTAGGGGACATGGATTCAATCCTGGTCAGGGAACTAAGATACTGCAAGCCTTGAGGTGTGGCCAAAACAAAACAAAACCAAAAAAAAAGAAAGTTGCCTTTGTCATAAGCAAGTGGATTTCCAGTCATAGATAACCATCAGCCAACAGGGAAGTAGGTCCTAAAAAGATGGAGAGGGGGAGGAAACGGGGCTCAAGAGGGAGACTGAGGGCCCTCCGTTTGGTTTGGCCCTTTTACAGCACTGATTTGTTTGATCCTTTTTAAAATTTTTATTTATTTTGGCCACTTGGTGGTGTGATATCTCAGCTCCCCGACCAGGGATCGAACTCGCGATGCCTGCAGTGGAAGCGGGGAGTCTTAGCTACTGGATCGCCCGGGAAGTCCCTCCATCAAGCACAAATTTTTAAAACCCTCCCTTTCCTAGGGAAGTGTTTGTCCTCTCCGGGGGGCACAGAGCGGCGCCGCTGGCTTCCAAGCCCGGGAACTTCCTGGCGGGCCGGGGGACGGGGTAGGTTGGGAGGGGGCGGGGACAGGCAGAGCCAGAGGCTGGGAGACCGGATGGACCGCAGCAGGTCCGGCTGCCTCCAGGGTCTGGCGGGAAGATTCTACCGGAAATGCAAATCTGCTGAGGGTGGGGTCAGTTCCTGGGAGGATTCCCCCGGAGCTGGCAAGGGTGCAGATCTGGGGATTCCCTTCCGGCTTGCTTCTACCTCCTTCCCCCGACACCGTCCACGGTGAGGCGTGGGGATCAGGAAGCAGGTACGAAATGCCCGGGCAGGATAAGAACTTGGTCTTGATCCTTCCTGCGGGGGGAAAGGAGGGGCTAGTTAATTTTTTTTTATTTATTAATGTCAGTATTCTTTTTTTTTTTTTTACAGTTCCATTCCTTCCGCCTGCCACCCTGCAAACCTCTGGGACTGGAATGAACGCTTGCCACCAGCAGTCTTAGACCCGTCTAGGAGCCGGTTGTCGGGGGAAATGGTAATTTTCCCGGGTTGGGACAAGGATCCACGCCCAGGGCGGGGCCGGGTCGCCTTCCGAGGAGTTGGGAGCAGCTGCCTGCAAAAAGCCGGGCTCTTTCCGGCTCGGGAGGAAAGGGGAAGCCACGAGGATCCCTAAGTGCGCCCTTCACGTTGCCCCAGAGAGAAGGGGTCTCCCATCCCTGGCCTGCAACCTTGCAGGACGCCTCTGTCGGTCCCCCGGCGCCCACTGTGTTTGCCCGCTCTGTGTTATTTGAATCCACAAATGTGTCGGGGGCGGGGGTGGGGGGGGTGGGGTGTCTGTTGTGCTGAGGGTGAGCCGCAAAATTCTAGGGACAGTCAGACTGAGAGGATGCCCACTGGGTTCACTGCTCCTGGAGACAAGGCTTCAGGGTTTGAGCTGGATCAGATTGGCACATTCTTTTTTGCCTGGGTGCTGTGACCATCCTTCATTTCAATTCAGTTCAGTCCCTCAGTCCTGTCTGACTCTGTGGGACACCATGGGCTGCAGCATGCCAGGCCTCCCTGTCCATCACCAACTCCCGGAGTTACTCAGACTCATGTCCATTGAGTCAGTGATGCCATCCAACCATCTCATCCTCTGTCTTCTCCTTCTCCTCCCTCCTTCAATCTTTCCCTGCATCAAGGTCTTTTCAGATGAGTCATTTCTTCCCATCAAGTGGCCAAAGTTTTGGAGTTTCAGCTTCAGCATTAGTTCTTCCACTGAATATTCAGGACTGATTTCCTTTAGGATGGACTGGTTGGATCTCCTTGCAGTCCAAGGGACTCTCAAGAGTCTTCTCCAACACCACAGGTCAAAAGCATCAATTCTTCGGTGCTCAGCTTTCTTTATGGTCCAACTCTCACATCCATACATGACTACTGGAAAAACCATATTCTTGACTAGACAGACCTTTGTTGGCAAAGTAACGTCTCTGCTTTTTAATATGCTGTCTAGGTTGGTCATAACTTTTCTTCCAAGGAGCAAGTGTGTTTTAATTTCATGGCTGCAGTCACCATCTGCAGTGATTCGGGAGCCCCAAAAATAGAAGTCTGTCACTGTTTCCACTGTTTCCCCATCTATTTGACATGAAGTGATGGGACCAGATGCCATGATCTTAGTTTTCTGAATGTTGAGCTTTAAGCCAACTTTTTCACTCTCCTCTTTCACTTTCATCAAGAGGCTCTTTAGTTCTTCACATTCTGCCATAAGTGTGGTGTTATCTGCATATCTAAGGTCGTTGATATTTCTCCCGGCAATCTTAATTCCAGCTTGTGCTTCACCCAGCCTGGCGTTTCTCATGATGTACTCTGCATATAAGTTAAATAAGCAGGGTGACAATATACAGCCTTGACGTACTCCTTTTCCTATTTGGAATCAGCTATTGTTCCATGTCCAGTTCTAAGTGTTGCTTCTTGCCCTGCATACAGATTTCTCAGGAAGCAGGTCAGGTGGTCTGGTACGCCATCCTAAAGGGTGGTTATAAAAGGCCAAGTTGAAGGGAAAGTGACAGGGAGGTGTCAGGATCAAACCCAGGGGTCCGAACAAGTTACATGCTTGTCATTGATGTTTTCCAGTGTCTTTGGGTTCCCGGAAGCTCCGGACACCCGAAGGGCTGTGTTTCATCTGCCTTTTGTCGATGTTTTTCTTTTTTCATGTTTATTGATTTGGCTGTGCCAGATGTTAGTTGCCACCCCTGGGATCGTTAGTTGCAGCATGTGGGATCTAGTTCCCTGACCAGGGATGGAACTCGGGCACCTGCATTGGGAGTCTGGAGTCTTACCCACTAGACCATCAGGGAACATCCCATGTGGATGTTCTTCTTCTACCTGTTTACGTGAATGGACCCAGAATTATGCATTCTTTTTTGTTCTTCCCACACCCACACCCACCCCACCCCCCTGCCATTTTCCCAAACTAACATGGCTGAGGTCACCAGGGAGAAAGCTAGAGCCGTTTGTATCTGTTTATTTCTAGGAGGGAGATGGAGGAACCTGCCAAGTAAAGGAAGAGAGGTGGTCAGTGATAGGCTTGAGGAAAGGGTGGGGTTCAAGGTAATGTAAGTGAAGTCCTGCTTAGAAAAGCTCAGGCTGGGAAATGTGCAAAGAGGCTATTATTGTCAGCTTTGACTGTTTCCTTAGAAACAAAAAGGTCAAGATACAGATGTGGAACATTCTGTCCCAAATCTCTTGAGTTGCAAATTGACCCTGCTTCTTTCTCCACTTGACTTAGATTCCCCCAGGCAAGAATGGAATTTACTTTTTTATTGATATGATGTCAGATATCAAATTGCAACCGTTTGTTTTTTTTTTCCTATTGAGATATAGTTGGTTTACAATGTTAGCTTCTGATGTACAGTATGCCTTTTCAAAACTGTATAAATCATACTCCATTTATAGTTATAAAATATTCGCAGTATTCCTTGTGCTATACAATAATATCCTTGTAGCTTCTTTATTTTATGTGTAAGTAAGTAAGTGAAGTCGCTCAGTTGTGTCCGACTCTTTGCAACCCCATGGACTGTAGCCCACCAGGCTTCTCTGTCCATGGAATTCTCCAGGCAAGAATACTGGAGTGGGTTACCGTTTCCTTCTCCAGGGGATCTTCCCGACCCAGGAATCGAACCCTGGTCTCCTGCATTGCAGGCAGAGACTTTAACCTCTGAGCCACCAGGGAAGCTCATTTTATGCATAGTAGCTGGTATCTCTTAATCCTCTACCCTATCTTGTTCCTCCCCATTCCCTTTCCACAATGGTAACCACTAGTTTGGTCTGTATCTGTGAGTCTGTTTCTTTCTTCCTATATTCATTGGTTTGTTTTATTATTATTATTATTGGCTGTGCTGGGTCTTCGTTGCTATGCGGGCTTCTCTCTAGTTGCAGGGAGCAGACTGCTCATTGTGGTGGCTTCTCCTTGCAGAGCACGGGCTCTAGGGCACACGGGCTTCAGTAGTCGCGCTTTCCTGGCTCTAGAGCACAGGCTTAATCGTTATGGTCCTGGGGCTTTGTTGTTCCGTGGGCATGTGGGATCTTCCCATCCCAGAGATTGAACCCGTATCTCTTGCATTGGCAGGCGGATCATTTACTGCCGACCTACCAGTTCAGTTCAGTCCCTCAGTCGTGTCCAACTCTTTGCAACCCCATGGACTGCAGCACGCCAGGCCTACCTGTCCATCACCAACTCCCGCAGTTTACTCAAACTCACATCCATTGAGTCGATGATGCTATCCAACCATCTCATCCTCTGTCTTCTCCTTCTCCTCCTGCCTTCAATCTTTCCCAGCATCATGGTCTTTTCCAATGAGTCAGTTCTTCACATCAGGTGGCCAAAGTATTGGAGCTTCAGCTTTAGCATCAGTCCTTCCAATGAATATTCAGGACTGATTTCCTTTAGGATGGACTGGTTGGATCTCCTTGCAGTCCAAGGGACTCTCAAGAGTCTTCTCCAACACTACAGCTCAAAGGCATCAGTTCTTTGGCACTCAGCTTTCTTTATAGTCCAACTCTCACATCCATACATGACTACTGGAAAGACCATAGCTTTGGCTAGATGGACCTTTGTTGGCAAAGTAATGTCTCTGCTTTTCAATGTGCATCTGTCACTGTTTCCATTGTTTCCCCATCTATTCTCCATGAAGTGATGGGACCAGATGCCATGACCTTAGTTTTTTGAATGTTGAGTTTTAAGCCAACTTTTTCACTCTCCTTTTTCACCTTCATCGAGAGGCTTTTTAGTTCCTCTTCACTTTCTGCCATAAAGGTGGTGTCATCTGCATATCTGAGGTTATTGATATTTCTTCCAGCAATCTTGATTCCAGCGTGTGCTTCAATCCAGCCCAGCATTTCTCATGATGTACTCTGCATATAAGTTAAATAAGCAGAGTGACAATATACAGCCATGTCGTACGCCTTTCCTAATTTAGTACCAGTCCATTGTTCTTGTTCCATGTCCGGTTCTAACGGTTGCTTCGTGACCTGCATACAGATTTCTCAGGAGGCAGGTCAGGTGGTCTGTAGTCCCATCTCTCGAAGAATTTTCCACAGTTTGTTGTGATCCACACAGCTCGAGGCATTGATGTAGTCAATAATTCAGAAGTAGATGTTTTTCTCAAATTCTTTTGCTTTTTGGTGATCCAATGGATGTTGGAAATTTTATCTCTGGTTTCTCTGCCTTTTCTAAATCCAGCTTGAACATCTGGAAGTTCTCAGTTCACTGTACTGTTGAAGCCTTGCTTGAAGAATTTTGAGCATTACTTTGCTAGCGTGTGAGATGAGTGCAATTGTGTGGTAGTTTGAACAGTCTTTAGCATTGCCTTTCTTTGGGATTGGAATGAAAACTGACCTTTTCCAGTCGTTTGGCCACTGTTGAGTTTTCCAAATTTGCTGACATATTGAGTGCAACACTTTCACAGTATCATCTTTTAGGATTTGAAATAGCTCAACTGGAATTCCATCACCTCCACTAGCTTTATTTATAGTAATGCTTCCTAAGGCCCACTTGACTTCACATTCCAGGATGTCTGGCTCTGAGTGATCACACCATTGTGATTATCTGGGTCATTTTTGTATAGTAAGATCTTTCTGTATAGTAAGATCTTTTGTATGTAAGATCTTTTCTGTATAGTTCTTCTGTGTATTCTTGCCACCTCTTAATATCTTCTGCTTCTGTTAGGTCCGTACCATTTCTGTCCTTTATTGTGCCCATCTTTGCATGAAATGTTCCTTTGGTATCTCTTATTTTCTTGAAGAGATCTCTAGTCTTTCCCATTCTACTGTTTTCCTCTGTTTCTTTGCATTGTTCACTGAGTAAGGCTTTCTTATCTCTCCTTGCTCTTCTCTGGAACTCTGCATTCAGATTGATAATATCTTTCCTTTTCTCCTTTGCCTTTTGCTTCTCTTTTTTGTTCAGCTATTTGTAAGGCCTCCTCGGACAACCATTTTGCCTTTTTGCATTTCTTTTTCTTGGGAATGCTTTTGATCACAGCCTCCTATACAATGTTACAAACCTCCATCCATAGTTCAGCTACCAGGGAAGCCCTGATTTTTTTTTTTTTTTTTTAGATTTCACATATAAGTGATAAATGGTATATGTTTTTCTCTGACTGACTAATTTCACGTAGCATAATACCCTCCAAGTCCATCCATGTTGTTGCAAATGGCAACTTTTCTTTCTTTTTATGGCTACGTAATAGTCCATTCTTTTGCTGTTATAAATAACCTTCCATTTAAATAATTATGTGCATATGTCATTTGGGGTTTTGGCCAGGGTATTTTTGGAGTATAATCTCATGAATGCAAATGCCAGATCATGGGATGTCTGCATATAAAATTTTGGTAAATTGGGCCTAATGTGCCTTCATATTAGAGGGGGGCAAATTTATAGATGGGCTTCCCAGGTGGCTCAGTGGTGAAGAACCCACTTGCCAATCCAGGAGACATGGGTTTGATCCCTGTGTCAAGAAGATCCCCTGGAGGAGGAAATGGCAACCCACTCCAGTATTCTTGCCTGGGAAATCCCATGGACAGAGGAGCCTGGTGGGCTACAGTGGGGTCACAAAAGAGTCAGACACGACTGAGCGACTAAACCACCTCCACCACCCAAATCTAGAGACAGCTTGCAATGACCTCTCTTTGGCCTGTAGACACATCACTCCAGTCTGTACATCCGTGTACATCTGTACATGGATGACGTGTATCTTCCCCTTGTGCATCTGTGTTCAGATTTCTCCTTCTTGTGAAGACAACCAGTCAGTGGATTAGCACTCATCCTACTCTCGTGTGACCTCACCTTAACTCATTTCCACCTTCAAAAGTCCTCTTTCCAAATCTGGTCAGTTTCACAAGTCTGGGGGTGGGGTGGGGTGGGGGTGGATTTTAATATAGCTTAGGGCAGGGACTGATGCTGAAGCTGAAACTCCAATACTTTGGCCACCTGATGTGAAGAGCTGACTCATTTGAAAAGACCCTGATTCTGGGAAAGATTGAAGGCAGGAGGAGAAGGGGATGACAGAGGATGAGATGGTTGGATTGCATCACCCACTCATTGGACATGAGTTTGAGTAAACTCTGGGAGTTGGTGATGGACAGGGAGGCCTGGCGTGCTGTGGTTCATGGGGTCACAAAGAGTCAGACATGACTGAGCAACTGAACTGACCTGAACTGAAGATGGGTACTCCCCAAGGAGTTCTGATGTGAATAACCGACTCATTGGAAAAGTCCCTGATGCTGGGAAAGATTGAGGGCAGGAGGAGAAGGGGGGTCAAATGATGAAATGGCCGGATGGCATCACCAGTGCAATGGACATGGACCTGGGCAAACTCCAGGAGATGGTGAAGGACAGAGCAGCCTGGCATGCTGCAGTCCATGGGGGAGCAAAGGGTCAGACTCGCCTGGGTGGCTGAATAACAACGGGGAGGGGACAGGATTCAACTTGATGACAGTCCATACCCCACTGAGCCAAAATGGGTGTGTTGTTCAGGACTCGATGACCTTCGAAGATGTGGCTGTGAACTTCACCTGGGAGGAGTGGGCCCTGCTGGACGCCGCACAGAGGCAGCTCTACAGAGATGTGATCCTGGAGACCTGTGGTCACCTGGCCTGTGTGGGTAAGGAGGCCCCTTCTTCCTGCGCTTGGTGACGGAAGGGTCTCACATGCATCAGGCCCCTTCTGTGTTCCAGAGACTCAACCACTGCCCCCAGGCGGCAGACATAGTTTCCCCCGTGACATTGGAAGTCTATCCTTTGCAAAAATATTTATTTGGCTGTGAGAGGTCTTAGTTGTGGCACGCAAGAGCTTCATTGCATCATGCCAGATCTTTCGTTCTTTGGTTGCAGAGCACAGACTCTCTATTTGTCATCTGGGCTTCGGTAGTTGTGGCGCCCAGCCTTCGTTGCTCCCCAGCATGTAGGATCTTAGTTCCCCAACCAGGGATCGAACCTGTGTCTCCTGCATTGCAAGGCGGATTCTTAACCACTGGACCACCAGGGCAGTCCCAGGAGTGGTTTCTTCATAAGTAAGAGGTTTCCCTGGGCAGGGGGGTGGGCAGGGGGAATGTCCTGAAACTAGATGGAGGTGATGGTTGTAAACATGGTACTGCATGCCAGAGCTGTACACTTTGGTTAATTTTATGCTGTGTAAATTTCATCTCCGTTTTTTTTTGTTGTTGTTTTTAATTCATTTCATCTAAGAGGAAAGCTGAGGCTCATGAATGTATGAGCTGCTTCGGGTATATAGAGAGTGTCGTGGGTTTCATCCATCTTCTCAGATGTTCCTTTCTATCCCCCTTGAGGAAGGCCTGTCCCCTCTGCCTTAGTCCAGGCTGATATGCTGAAATTCCATACACCGGGTAGCCTAGACAACAGCTGGAGGCTAGACATTCTGGAGGCTGAGAAGTCAAAGATCAAGATGCCGGCAGGTTCAGCTCCTGGGAGGGCCCTCTTCCTGGCTTGCAGACGGCCGCCTTCTCACACAGCAAAGAGGGAGAGAACCCTGGTGTCTCCTCCTCTTCTTCTGAGGACAGTAACCCCATCTTTGGGTCCCGTCCCACCCTCATGAGCTCATCTGAACCTAATTACCTCATGAGGTTTCCACCTGCAAAGAGCATCCTGTTGTGGGGTTGGGGTTTCAACATGGATTTGTGGTGGTTGTTGTTTAGTCCGTAAGTCGTGTCCAAGTTTTTGCGACCCTGTGGACGGTAGCCCACAAGACTCCTCTGTCCATGGGATTTCCCTGGCAAGAATACAGGAGTGGGTTGCCATTTCCTTTTTCGGGACACCTTCCGCAACCCAGGGATGGAACCCTCATCTCTTTAGTCTCCTGAATTGGCAAAGGGGTTCTTTACCACTAGCGCCACCATTGCAGTGGGAGGCATCACAAATTCAACCCATAGCAGATTCTTTGTCCAGTTTGTCCTGACAGTTGGAGCTCGGATTGGAAAAGAATTTCCAGACACGGAGTATTTCAGAAAGGAGTGAGTTTATAAGAACAGAGATAATGAGGGCGCTGCGAGCACAGCCGGTGACCTCCTGGCAGACCAGAGTGTTGATGCTTTTTGTGAGTTGGTAGCCAATTTTGATAGCCTCGAGACAAAGAAAATTCTTGCTGGAAGGGTGGCATTAGGTGATTGGTTAAGGTACTATAGAGTGAGTACCCGGGTAGGCATTTTTACCTAATGTGGGGTCAGGGAGCTGGCCAGTGAGGATGGGAGTGGGGCTCATGACAACAGTTGCTATGGGGCTCAGTCAGTTCCGGAGGTGACCTTGGTGCTGGGCTCTGCATCTGTGGCCTTGGTACAGAGCCTCACACCTGTGATCATGGTGTAGGTTCGCATTATTCTCTCACGCTTGGCATTCATGATTGTACCTTCAATCTCACAGGATCATATTTACATATCTGGCTGCACCGGGTCTTAGTTGCAGCAGGCAAGATCTTAAGCTGCGGCACGTGGGATATAGTTCCCTCACCAGGGATTGCCGGGCCCCCTCCACTGGGAGCGCTGAGTCTTGGCCACTGGACCACTGGAACTTCCGGAAAGTTCCCAGAACCATTTCTTAGCATCTTGCTGTGCGTATTGAACCTCTGATCTTAACCATAGTCAAACTCCTCATACATCCCAAATTCCAATATCTCTCTCTGCCTCTCTGCCTGCCTCCTCTTGCTCTCTCCCTTCTCCCATTTTCCTTACAGAGGGAACGTTTGAAGAGAGATCCACAGGCATTCGCCTGCTTTCTCCTCCACTTTTCCTTTCCACAAAGACCTGACTTTTGCACTGCTTCATTTCAGACTGGGCGACTCGACATCAAACCAAAGACTCGACCCCTCGGCAGAACAACCTTGCTAAAAGGACGTTTCAGGAAGTGAACAGAGCACACCTGGCGAGCAGCGGTTCCCGACTCTCCGATCTCAGAGAAGACTGGATGTCCCATAGAATAGAGGTGCCGGGCAAACAGAGAGGGCGAACATTGAAACAAGTTGCAGCTGCCCATGAGAAAGATGCCTCTCCCATTGGATTCTGGGAATATCCCCAAATGAGGGACATCTCTAACCCTGGCCAGAAGATTGTGCCATCACAGGGAGATTCCACAAGAAAACATAACCCAAGATGTAACTCAGACATCTTGAAACAAATTCTCCTCTTACACAGTAATCAAAAAATCTTTACAAACAACGAAGATGACCAAGTCAAGTGGCAGGAAATGCCATGGACTTCACCTGCGAGAACTCAGACAGAGCTGAAATCAAAGGCGCGGATGGATCATCAGAACGACCTGCTTCATTTGCAGGCTGAAATGTACATGGGTGTGAGCATCCACAAACACTGTCCACGTGGGAAAGCCTTAGGGGGAGACATCTCCCTTAGGACACGAGGGATGCCCCTGAAAGAGAAACCTCGTCATTCTCATCAGTGTGAAAACACCTTCCTAAATAACTCTCTCCCTGCTGGGCAGACGCAACCCTGTGAGGCAGAGACAAATAATGAGAATAATCAAAGTGGGAAGACATTTGTCCCTGTTCAGAGTTCCGATTCGCACAGGAGAACTTCGATGGGAGTGAAAAGCTATAAGTGCAGGGACTGTAGGAAGGCCTTCGTGTATCAATCGTCCCTTAAGAAACACATGGAAATTCACACGGGAGAGAAGCCCTATGCATGTGAGAATTGTGGGAAAACCTTCAAATATATCTTACACCTTAATAAACATATGAGAAATCACAACCTGAAGACCTTTGAATGTCCGGAATGTGGGAAAAGCTTCAACAAGTCCTCGAAGCTTAAGGAACATGTTAGGATTCACACTGGAGAGAAACCCTATAAATGTCAGGAATGTGGGAAAACCTTCAATAAGTCCACAAAGCTTAAGGAACATAGTAGGATTCACACTGGAGAGAAACTCTATAAATGTAAGGAATGTGGGAAAATCTATACTAATTCTTCAAGTCTTAAAACCCACCTGAAGAGGGTCTGCGGATGAAAGGAATGGGGAGAAGCCTTCATTCATTTTCTCAAAGTACTGAGTGCAGAAGGAGGACGTGATAGCAGGGAGCTCAGTGAATGAACAAAGATGGTAACGTCTTCTCTGAACTCTCAGATCTTACAGAAATGTAAGATTTCACACTTTTATTTTTTTAAGGGGAATATGGGGAAGCCCTCAGTGTTTCAAATGTACAGTTCCTGTAAAGACACACTGCAGGACTTCCCTGGCAGTCCAGTGGGTAAGACACCACCCTCCCACTGCAGAGGTTTGATCCCTGGTGGGGCAGCTAAGATCCCACATGCCATGTAGCAGGGCCAAAAAAGTAAAAAATAAAACTCACACTGCCAAGGCATCATATGGGATTAAGGAATGTGGGCACACCTTACATACTCATCCCTCACTTTACACATGAGACCAAACCCTGGAGAGAGACCTCTCATCAGTAATAGATTTGAGAAAGCCTTTATTTCCCTCTCTTCACATGCAGGGCACAAATGAGTCTTAAGCTCAGTCGTGTCTGACTCTGCGACCCCCATGGACTGTAGCCCTCCAGGCTCCTCTGTCCATGGAATCATCCAGGCAAGAGTACTGGAATAGGTTGTCATTTCCTTCTCAAGGGGATCTTCCCAACCCAGGGGTCAAACCTGCGTCTCCTGCGTTGCAGGCAGATTCTTTACCCGTGAGCCACCAGGGAAGCCCCTAATAGTAGGAGAGAAACAGGGTAGATGTTCTGATCACTAGCATTATCCATGTCTCTTCCTTCCATTACCAAAATTCTGTATTTGCCACCATTTCTAATAAAATCCCACAAGAATGCTGACTATCCCACTGTGGATCCTTTTAGCTCTGCCACGTGAGTTTTGAGCTGTAGGAGCTTCATAACATTTCACTGATGCGTCACTGCACCCCTGTGAATTACTGTTTGAGCTACGTTTAATTTAGACTCAGGTTTGCTGTGCTCCGTAATGCCATTTCTGTCCATTGATTTGACTGCATTATGGTCAGAGTATGTGATCTTTGTGGTACTGATAGGAGATACTTGTCTTGACTTTCATCTTGGTCTTGTGATGGGACCAGTTCTGTCATTGCCTGACCACATTCTTCTCATCTTCTTTACTGAAGGGACGTAGATTTGTTTTTCCAGAGTTAGCACAGTTGGATTTTTTTTGGTGGGGGGAGCAGGGGAGCGCCATATAGCATGTTAGGTTTTAGTTCCCTGACCAGGAGTCGAACCCACGCCCCCTTCAGTGGAAGCATGAGTCTTAACCATGGGACCACCAGGGAAGTCCCTGTGGAATGTTTTTAAATGCATTTTAAAGGCTCCTCGTCAGGGAACTAAGATCGCACATGCCATGCAGCAAAAAAAAAAAAAATGCCTTTCTCAGATCTTCTCATATCTGATGGTGAAATGGAGCTTATTGCCAGTAAGGAGGGAGATGGTTTGGATTCCTGGAGGGCTGTTGGAAAGGAGAGAATGTTCTTAACTCTCTCTTAACCAAGTACCCTGTTCTTTCCTTTGTTTCGCTCTGGAAATGCGATGATATTCCCTGAGTTAGCTCATGCAACTTGAGGATCATTGAAATGAAGGTCATGGTCCCAGTAACACGACCCTCAAATATAAATACACAATTTCTCACTCTCATATTTGAATGGCATATTTGGGGATTTTCATGGCTTCGGTAGATTGCATGTCTACATTTATTCCATAAAGCAAAGCCTTAATTTGGTTAAGAAGAATTTCAGGGGAGTTTTGTTGTTTGTTTTTTTTTAAGTAGAAGCTATTATTTATTTTTATTTTGTTTTTGGCCTTGCCACACCTGTTGCAGGATCTTAGTTCCCCAATCAGGGATTGAACAACTGGCCCGGAACATCCCCAGCGATCCAGCTGGAAGACTCTGCACTTCCAATTCAGGGGGCATGGGTTCCATCCCTGGCCTAGTTGGGGAGCTCAGATCCCACATGCTGTAGCCAAAAAACCCTCCAGGCCCCCTGCAGCGGAAGCACAAAGTCTTACCACTGGACTGCTGGGCAATTCTGGAGGAGGTTTTATAACTCAGAGTTAGAATGATAAAGTTAGTATGTGGCCAATTTTTTGTAATTCCTCTTGTGATTCAAGATGCTGTACATTTCTTTGGTATTGGGTGGGCTCGTCAGTATTTGAATGGTCAAGCTTCTTAAGAGTGTTCTAGACTCTCTTACTAATGACATTTTTACTCACTGAGCAAATTCATAATAAAACATTTGGGGCTTCCCTGGTGGTTCAGTGGTTAAGAATTGGCCTGCAAATGCAGGAGATGTAGGTTCGATCCCTGATCCTGGAGGATCCCACATGCCATGAAATGACTGAGCCCGTGCACCCCAACTACTGAGCCTGTGCTCTGGAGCCCGGGAGCTGCAACTCCGGAAGCCCCAGTGCCCTGGGGCCCACGCTGCACAACACGGGACGCCGCTGCAGCTGGATCGCTGGAAGCCCGTGTCCGCAAATAGGGAGAAGCCCTCACAGCAACAAAGACCCAGCACAGCCAAAAATTAAAAAACTATTTTCAAAAATTAAAATAAAATAATGTTACTCTAAACATAGTGACTCAAAGTTTTGCAGTTTTGTCTTTTTTTTTTTTTTTTTTTTTTTGTCAATTCTTGTTTAATGTATTTGGAAAGGTGTTATTAGATGCATAAGAAATTGGGCATTTTCTTTATTAAAGGTGAGTTTTCTTTCTAGTCTATGTTTAACCATCTTTTACCACAGTGATCTTTTTGTTTCTTCATACAGTAAGGGTGAAAGTTTATGTGCTTCTTACCATGAGCTAGTATTTGCATATACTAGCTCAGTTCAGTTCAGTTGCTCAGTCGTGTCCAACTCTTTGCGACCCCATGAACTGCAGCACACCAGGCCTCCCTGTCTATCACCAACTCCCGGAGTCCACCCAAACTCATGTCCGTTGAGTTGGTGATGCCATCCAACCATCTCATCCTCTGTCATCCTCTTCTTCTGCCTTCAATCTTTCCCAACATCAGGGTCTCATCCTGTTTATTATGTACCACCACGCCTCTCATAAATGCTGTAACTTTTTTTTATGAATGAGAAAACTAAAGCACTGAAGTTAAAATGGTTAATGTTAAGTGATGTCTTTTGAGTTTCAAAGCTACCAGTGTTTTCATCGTCAAGTTCAGGATTCAGAACGTGTTAGTTTTCTGTTGCTCCTATTGCTATTTATTTATGTAACTTTATTTTTTGACTGCAGTGTGCAGCATTGGGGATCTTAGTTCCCTGATCGGGTATCAAACCTGTGCCCCCTCCCGTAGAAGCACGGATTCTTAACCAGTGGACCACCAGGGAAGTCCCCAAATTAGAATTTTTAACACTGAGTTTAAGGAACACATCATGGCCCTTCTCTGTACTTGACAAACATTAACTCGTTTAATGCTCACCGACAACCCTATGAAGTGGGTGCTATTAGCCCCATTTTTAGAGCAGAGGAAACACACACAGAGGCCAAGCAAGCTGCCCAAGGTCACACAGCCCCGCTGGGAGCGGGCGAAATTCTAACCCCGGTTCCTGCGCCAGACTAGGTGGGGAGACCTCCGTGTTGTCTGTCCTCCCCCATCCGAGTATGAACTCTGGGAGGGGCATCTGGCTCACAGAGGCGTTTAGTGGAATAAAGAAGGGAGGAGTGGCTATCTTAGGATGGCCACTCATCCCTTCGTGACCGCCTGCGCCCTCCTGCAGTTCTCAGCTCGCGGAATCCTATTCATAGGTAAAACCGTATCCCTGGACTTCAAAGAAATCCTAGTGGCTTGGGCTGAGTCAGAACAGAGCAGAGCCCACTCACGGTGGGGCACGGGCGCCACCTGGCGGCGGAGTCCTACTAAAACAAAAGCCAGGAGACGGAAAATTTGCTTTGGACGAAGTGAAATTAGCTGAAAGGGAGTTGATTGCAAGTTTGTGTGTGTGTGTGTGTGTGTGTGTGTGTGTGTGTGTGTTAATTTTTTTAGAAATTTATTTGGCTACAGCCGGGTCTTACCTATGACACACGGGATCTTTAGTTGCGGCATGCGAACTTAGTTTCGGAGTATGGGGTCTACCCCAGCGGCCCCCATGCCCCAGCAAGAGGAGGCAAGAGTGCTGGTTGCCTAAGGCCCCCCTGAACCCTAGGCCCCCTATATTGGGATTACAGAGTCCTAGCCACTAGACCACCAGGGACGTCCCTGAAATGCCACTTTTTATATTTCTGACTCACTGTTATATCCCCAGAGCCTAGCACCATGTGTGGCATGGAGTCGTGCATGCGTGCTCAGTTGCTGTGTCTGACTCTGACTGACCCCATGGACTCGGTAGCTCACCAGGCTCCTCTGTCCATGGAATTTTCCAGGTAAGAATATTGGAGTGAGTTGCCATTTCCTCCTCCAGGGGATCTTCCCCACCCAGGGATCAAATGCGTGTCTCCTGCCTTGCAAGCAGATTCTTTACCACTAAGCCACCTGGGAACCCCCTGGCACATAGTTAATACTCAGAACATATTTGTCAAATCAATGGAAAAAAGAGATGGAGGAGATGGGATTCCCCATTATAACATTAATTCAAAGGATCTGATTTGATAAGGTGTGAAGGAATTTTTTTACCAAAAACATTAACTCTGTTCTATGCAGTAGACCGTAAAAATTAATAATTCAACATCTCCTGTTTCTTATGAATATCACCCAGAAGTGACTTCAACAGAAGTGTTTTCTAGGATGCCCTAAATTAGCAATTGTGGTCAGTTTCAGTGACTAGAAGGCTTTCGCCCTGATGGGTTGTCTTGAACATGTGCTGCCCTGCTATTAACATCCTGTGTGTAAACTGCATAAACACGGGTAAGCTTTCTCATCAGATCACAGATAGACCTTTTCTCTCTTCTCATATGCGTGATGGGAGATTAAATTCCAACTCTCCAATGGGTTGATTATTTTACAAAACCAGTGAGCCCACGTTTGAGCTAAAATAACAAATGGTCCTAGGACTGAACTTTCAGAATGGCTGAGAGTGGAAGGTGGCGACCCCTGCCGGCAGCCCCGACTCACACAAGCGTGAGTGGCCTCCACAGGAAGTGATTTCAGATTGTTCTGTGTTCTTTTTTTAAATGATATTTGTTTATTTTTTTTTAATTTTACTTATTTATTTGCTGCGCTGGAGTCTTCGTTGCTTTGCACAGACTTTCTCTAGTTGCCACGAGCGGGGTCTACTCTTCAACGCGGTGCACAGCTTCTCATTAATGTTGCTTCCCTTGTTTCCGATCGTAGGCTCTAGGGTGCTCAGGCTTCAGTAGTTGTGGCGAACAATCTTAATTCCCTGGCAAGCATGTGGAATCGTCTCAGGTCAGGGATCGAACCCATGTCCCCTGCATTGGCAGGCGGATTCTTATCCACTACACCACCAGGGAAGTCCTGTGTTCTTAAAGCATTGTTATAAAGGCTGTGTGTTGAACTGCATTCATGATAACAAATATGTGCTGGGTCCCTTATTTTTCTTTCAGACTTTATTCCTGTCGTCACTAAGTATATTCTTGATTATGTT